TTAAATGGTACTGAAGTACTCTTATATGTTCATTATTTCTACACAAATCAATGTCTCTATATACTGATAAACTGTGATGTGCTCAGTTAATGCCCTGCTGCTAATTGTAGAGAACACTTAGACTCTATTAAGTAAAATTGGTTAAGAACCCTTCTTAAAAAGATTGATTAATGGTTATCCTAACTCATCAAATGTAATTTAATGTAACACTTCATTATTGTTTTGAAGTAATTCTGAAATTTAGCTTGTCCTTTAACTTGTATGTCTTCCCTTTCCACTTGTTCAAATTTATGTGTTATTCCAAGTTGTTATCAGGTCCCTTAAAGGAGCCCCAGGAATGGCCTTGGGTACCATGTTGCTGGCTACTTATACCCCATAACATATCATAGTTTGCAATGGAATTTAAAACCCCTTGACCACTGGGCCAATAGGCAGCTCTGAGATCCCAGGGCAATGTCAATTCACAGCATTCAGGGTATGTGAGGGGTTGGGATAATTGGACAATAGACATTAAGGAGGGTACTTGATGTAATGAGCACTGGGTTTTATATACAACTGGTGAATCACTAAATTCTACCCCAAAATTAATAATATACTATATGTTAACTAACTTGAATTAAACTAAAACCAAAAAAAATTTCACAACATTCAAGAATCTGAATCCCAGGGGCACCTGGGTAGCTCAGTAGGTTAAGCCTCTGCCTTCAGCTCAGGTCATGATCTCAGGGTCCTGGGATCGAGCCCTGCATAGTTGGGCTCTCTGATCAGCAGGAAGCTTGCTTCCCCACCCCCCCACTCTCTGCCTGCTGCTCTACCTACTTGTGATCTCTCTCTCTCTCTCTGTGTCAAACAAATAAATAAAAATCTTTAAAATTAAAAAAATTTAAAAAAATAAATAAAGGAATCTGAGTCCCAGTAGCTTCCATGGCCCTTAGAAATCCTTCCATGGTCTATAGAGAAACTAGCCCTTAGAAAGGGTGATTAAATAGAAATAACCAACTGCTGTGCCTCAGATATTTTAAAAACCAATATCTCCTGTCTGAATTGGAATCCATCCCTTCTTTCCAGCTCAGTCACCGTCACTTCCAATTACTCTGCTTTTTTTTTTTTTTAAGATTACTTATTTATTTGTCAGAGAGAGAGAGCACGGGCAGGGCGAGTGGGAGAGGGGAAAGCAGGCTCCCCATTGAGCAGGAGCCCAATGCAGCACTCAGTACCAGGACTCCAGATTCATGACCTATGCTGAAGGCACATGCTTAACCAACTGAGCCACGCAGGAGTCCCGCAGTTACTCTGCTTCTTAATTGTTGTCTTCAACTTGTAAATGCCCAGGTCTGAGTCCACTCACCTTTCATTTTCTCCCTTTTGAGCTGCAGACTTGCTAGGAAAAAAAATGTGTAAGAATGCTACAGAAATCACGCAAACTCCGGTGTCTCTCCTCAGCCAGAACGTCACTGCCTCCCCAGGGCCTTCTGTCTCTATGTTAAACTTTCTCCTGACTTCTCAAAGCCCCCCAAGTTTCCTAGTGACAATCTGGATCTCCCCTCTGGCTTCTGGGACAGATAAGACCCTATTCCTACCCAAGGCTGAACATGCCATCTGTGTTTCAGATCACACTCACCCATCACTTCTTTGGTGTCCTGTCAGTGATCCCGTTTCTCATATCTCTCTTGGGAGGAAGGGTGTCTCCAAGGAGCTTTCAAAAATTCTCCCATTTTTACAAAACACAGTGTACTCAATTATTAGAAAAATTGTTTATTCCTTGACTTCCTTATTAGAATTTAAGTGCCCTCAGGGCAGGGATCATGTCTGTTTTATTCAGTATTATATACCCAGTGTCTAACAGGTGCTAGATAAGTATTTGATGAATGAATAAATGAATGTAGGAACTTAAGAGAGGAGGAACCAATCAAGAAGGGAGTGATCGATAGTGGCCAACTTATAGAGAGGACAAGAGAAATGAAAGAAAAAAGTTTCCTTTGAGTTTAGCAAGGAGATGGGCATCACTCATTCTGGAAGTCCCCAGAAATTCACAGTGAGTCAGTGCTAGGAGCCTAGTTCACTCTTGTAGGGCAGCTTGTGATGTGCCTGGCCTCAGGCCAGTGCTGGAGGAGCTGATGAGAGCATCACAGCTAGTAAAGGGCTGGAGCTGAAGCAGGGCAGTTTTTGTTTTTGTTTTTGTTTTTGTTTAGATTTTATTTATTTGATAGAGATTACAAGTATGCAGAGAGGCAGGCAGAGAGAGGAGGAAGCAGGCTCCCCGCTGAGCAGAGAGCCTGATGCAGGGCTCGATCCCAGGACCCTGAGACCATGACCTGAGCCGAAGGCAGAGGCTTAACCCACTGAGCCACCCAGGTGCCCTGTTTTGTTTTTTTTTTTAAACAATTTTTTGGTTTTTTTTAAACAGCCAGAACAGAGAGTCTTTATTTCTTCCTCCACACAGAACCACTGCAATTAAAGCTGTTGTGACTGGAAAACTAAAAACACGATGAGGAAATTAGAGACATTTAAGCACCTACCTTCTACGCATGTACATTTTTTAAAGGAAATTTTAAATGTAAATGATTAGGATTGCTTTCAAAATACATAAAAATAAAGAGATTAAAATGAGTCTAAACACGAAAAAGTGTGATCAGGCTCAGGCGGTTCTCCCCCAGCTCTGTCGGCAGCCCAGGGACAGGCACCGCAGCGTCGTCAGGGCGGGACTGAGGGACAGTCCTCAGTCCCTCCGCCCACCCCGCAGCAGGTACGTGCTGTGCACCTACTATGTGCGGGGCATCATAATATGCCCAGTATGCCCTGAGCATAAGCTCCACACCAGAAAGAGAATCTGCAACTTTAGCCACAAAGATGGCCAGAACTTGCTAAGACTTCTTAAATTTTTGTGATTTTTACATTGTTTTAATGATGTCCCACAACTACTTTCCCACAGTGAATAGCAAAAAAAACTCTCAAATAAAAAGTGTCCATGTGCTTAGCTTCAGGTCATGCGAAAGGGGCATGCTAATGATTCGGTCATCCTAGACAGGCAGTCTAGTGCAGCAAGCTCTTGAACCCACTGCAGGTGTTTGAGCTCTGGCTGTTTCAACTACTGGATGTGCAGCCTTGTGCTAGTCGACTACCTCACCTTTAGTTTCTTCATCTGGAAAATGGACTCAGTAACCATACCAGCTGTGACACTATGATTTTTGATAAGAAATATATATTTGGGGCGCCTGGGTGGCTCAGTTGGTTAAGCGACTGCCTTCAGCTCAGGTCATGATCCTGGAGTCCTGGGATCGAGTCCCGCATCAGGCTCCCAGCTCCACGGGGAGTCTGCTTCTCCCTCTGACCTTCTCCTCGCTCATGCTCTCTCTCACTGTCTCTCTCTTCTCTCAAATAAATAAATAAAATGTTTAAAAAAATTATAAAAAAAAAAAAAAAAAAAAGAAATATATATTTGTTCTTTGTCTCATTCATGGCAGAGAGGTCCTAAAACCCTGAAATTCCCTAGGTGATAAGGGCAGCACAAATGTTTTTGTTACGTTAATGAAGTGACTTTTGGAAAGTTTCTAAGTTATCTAGGAAGGGAAGCTGGTTACCAGGGAACTAACCATGTGATTGGAAGGTTGGAAATCCCTGACCTCTGGGGGTGGGAGAGGGTTTGGAAGTTGAGTCCAACCAATGATTTAATCAATCATGCCTATGTAATTAAGCATACATAAAAACCCAAAAGGACTGGGTTAAAGAGCTGACAAGTTGGTGAACTTGTGGAGATATAGTGAGAGTGGCAGACGCAGAAAGCATGGAAGCTCCTTCCCACATACTTTGCCCTACATATCTCTTCTCTCTGGCTGTTCCTGAGTTTCTTTTACATGAACTGATAATCTAGTAAGGAAAATGTTTTTCTGAGTTCTGTGAGCCACTCTAGCAAATTAATTGAACCCAAGGAGGAAGGAGGTCATGGGAACTTCTGATCTATAGCCAATAGGCCTGGGTAACAACCTGAACTTGGAACTGATAGCTCAGGTAGGGGTTAGTGAGGGTAGTCTTGTGGAATTGAGTCCTTAGCCTGTGGAATCACTGTCTCCATTTAGATAGTGTCAGAATTGATTTGAATTGTAGGACACCCTGCTGGTGCTGGAGAATTACCTGGAAAAAAACACTCATGAATTGGTGTCAGACTCTTACTTATCTCATAAAATTTGAGGAATAGATGAGCTGAGCATAGAAAGCCCCTGGAAGAGTCTCCAGCTAGCCGGCTGGTAAGCACTCAGTAAGCTTTGTGGGTTTTTATTGTTGTTGTTATTGTTGTTTTGCTGTAATTAGTATCAGTAGTTGGGAGAATAATATTAGTACTACCAACACAGAGAGTTAATTTGGGCAATGTCAGTTCTCAAAAAGAAATGAAAAAGGTTGAATCTTTGGATGCTCTGACAGAGAAAATGGAAGTGAAGAGACCTAGGCTTGAGTAAGAGCCTTAGAAATTTGTCAGATGATTCAGCATTAGCCTGAAACAAATGGAATATTATTCTATTCCCTGAACAAGGAAGAAAAACATTAAATTTGCACAAACCAGGAAGAAGAGTATTTGAAATATTTCCTAAGCCAAATTGCTCCCCGTATTCTGCTAGAGACCTTATGCATTTATTTGCTCCCTGGGGGAACATTCTTTTATTTGCAAACAAGTGATGACACAACAGAATTTTCTTTCTCTCACCCCTGATTCATGCACCATCAAGATAACCTATGAGTAAGGAAGGGCAAGGAGAGCACGGTGTCCTGCTATTACTTACACATCCCTGCAGGCCCTTAACATGGAAACAGTACTCTCAAGGATCTGTGAATGGGGAGAGTGGCTCTCATAGGGTCCTATGAAGTCTTAGCAATGTCTACTCTACAGTGAGAAGAAAGGAGACAAAAACAATCCAGCTCTGAAGCCAACTTCACTAAGTGCTTCCCCTTGACACCTCAGCCCCAGCCTAGGGAGCCCACTCTCATGTTTTCTTTTTTTCTTTCAGTGTGCAGGGGTTCCTGGTATGACCAGGTAAAAATGGAAGCTGGAAAGAGAAAGACCAAGTATGCATCTAATCCTCTACTTCTACAAGAAAATGAAAAAGAGGAGGCGATGCACCTCCCCATTCACTACATACACATTAGCAAAGCAAGCAAACTACAACGATAGAATATGCACACACACACTGCCTTGTGCTATGCTGCAGGAACCAGACATGGATACCTAGACCTTTAGGGCTGGATCAGCTGGTTGAACCATGGTAGCCTTTGGAAGTCCAAAATTGTTTTAAGAGGTTCCTGAAGGCAAGAATTATGCAACTGACTTCTACAGCTGTCTTGGTTCTCAAATTGTCTGTATTCTCACTTTGTTCTCAGAGATAATTTGCTTCTAGCTTTATCAGATCCATGTAAAGCTATTACCTTGAAGTACCCACCAATCACATAAAACATTTTTTTCTCCTACTAGTGCTCTATTTGGCTCAAAAAACATTGAATAACTTGTTCAACTCCCTGGGAAAATGTTCTGCAATCTTTACTGCAAACAAATATTGCCTAATACTTGGGTAATCCATACTTGGATTATAAAAATACCTAAGTGGATGATTTCACTGCTTTATTTCCTCCAATTTCAAAAATTCAGAAATAAAAGTCATCTTCCTGTACATGTCATATTATTCATAGTATTCATGCTCCATAGAAACTAAAATAAATATGTAAAGACATACTCATAAGCTAAGAGAATATTCTAGATAAAATATTAATGAAATATCTTTCTGATGAAGGGGTATCTAGTACAAAATCGAGGATAAAGAAAATTTTGTGTTTAAGAGAAAAAGATGGGAATGGGGAAGGTCAGAGCAGGAGCTGTTTAGTGAGTGAAACCACAAGGAAAAGAATTTAGGTTTATGTCTGGGGCAGGAGTTTGGGATGGGGTAATAGAATAGGGACCCAGGCCCACCAGAGTAAGGGGAAAGCTCTAGATAATGTTCAGTCCTTTACTGGAAGACATCATATGTTTCTGACAGGGAAGCTACAAGGTCGTTGAATGGTAAGAAAAGCAGAAGAAACACAGAGAGAAAGAAATCAAGATAATATAATGCCCCTGAATTTCAAGATGAAGAACATCTCATGTTCTTCAGGTGACCAAGACCAATAAGATCATAAATACCGAGATGGGATGAATTGAGAGAACTTCCAGATTTTGTTTCCTTGCCTTTTTTTTCTCTTACCAAAAATCCCCTAATGACTACTTGTTGCCCCCACACAGAACTAGGAACATGAAAAGAAAATAGCACTTTTGGGGAAGAAGCTAGAAGGATTGTTCAGCACACTTCATTTGCAGACATAAAGACAAACCCGATGACCAGCTACACAACCTTGCCTTGTATAGTTGTCAACCAGTCTATCTCCCCATTAATGACAGATGATACTTTCCAGCCATCATGAAGTTCTTCAAGAACAATAAAATTGCATAGCTAATATTCTGGAAAGGAATATGCTTATTACACTTTTAACTGTCACTAGGCTGCCAATAATTCTGAGGTTTCCTCAAACTATTATTTGAAAGAAAATAGATTGTGATATGTATTTAGAATAGAAATTAGTACTTTTTAGTTATGTCTAAAATTTTACTTCAAAGAGAAAGCGTTCAGAATAGACTTTCCACCTAGTCTCTCAAGTATGACTTCATTGTCTCTCAGGGATGATGGGAGATTGGAAGAATTACTTCAAAGTGCACAGAATGAGAGGTCCAGTGAAAACTGAGAGGGAAAAATGGCTGGCACTTCTCCAACCTTCCACATAGAACTCTGCAGAAAGGGAGACAAAATCTAGAATACTCAGAGGAAATGTTATTACCTTATCTCGTGTTTATTTTCCTTATCATTGCTTTTCCTTTAGAAATGACTTTCTGAACTTTCTCAAATTGTTCAGGCAAGAACTAGAACTTATGTACATTTTTTTTCCCTTTCTGCATGCACCTAGAATATGAAACCATTATATTAACTAAAGAGCCGGTCTTGCAGGTCTTCAAGCACCTGAGTGTAACAGCACCTGAGGAACTTAAGAGACTGGTGGTTATGTCCCTAAAGCAATGTACAAAGTTCCTGAGGCCTGCTGGCCAAGTCTTCCTTCACCTGGCCCTGACCTTCCCAGTAGGAGTATCTTCTCTAGTGGGCCCCTGTATCTTGAGAATTCCACAGTGGCTTTGCTAAAACTCTTGGACCCAAACCACAAGCTAAGACATTTCTCACCTGGTCTTTCTTTTATCCCTCCCTCTCCTCCACAGGGTTTGGTCCTGCACCATGCACTGACAGCCCCCCCACATTTTTCCTACACAGGCATTGGCCCCAGTAAATCTCTTGTATGCCAAGGGTCCACTTCTCACTGAAAAAGAGAACATGACTCTTCCTTTGTTAGAGCGACCTGTACTATTAAATTCAGATGTGCAAGTAAATATATTGGTTGAGTCATTTGAAACTGGACACACACACACACACACACACACACACACACACACACACACACAAGCAAGAAAAAAACACTCGAGTGTCCCAAAGGCAGCAACTTCAGGATGACTGAAATTACTAACACTGAGAAGCTGGGAGATGGGGCACCTGGAGAGGAAATTCCAACCTTTGGGGAAGAAGCACTGCTGGACCTAGCTCCTGTCCCTGAAGAGACCACAGTAAGGATGTTTGCATTAGTGAGTGAGGTTGCACAACCTGCACATGGAGGGCAGCTCTGGCTGCAGGGGGAAATGCCACACTGGAGGAAGCAGCAGCTCAGCTCGGGGTCCTGCTCACAGAGGAAGCAAATCCAGGTTCTCCTTCTTGTCTCTCAGGCTCCCTATTGCAGAGACTCAGAGGGGCCAGCCAGCCAACAGAAACCTGGACTGATTGTTCCAGCCCCTGGATCTCAAAAAAATACCATAGACTGGTAGACTCAGACTCTCATAGGCAAAAATTTAAAAGCTGGGCCAGCCAATATCTGACTTTTTTAAATCTCAGAAATGGCAATTTGGTTGGTTCAAACTAATACATATACCTCATATAAAAAAAATGAACTGGGAAAATATCTACTTATCTAAAGAAAACGAAGCAATCAGCTATGATATAGTATATAGCACACTCTTCCTTCTTTTCCACCTCTGCTCTGGGATTCCAGGTGAAAGGTCTTCTCTGCCTAAGCTCCCACAGCACCTGTAGCAGCAGCAGCAGCAGTTAAGAAACAAATGTTGAGAAATTACTGTTTCCTGAATGGCATGTTTAATGGTTTGCTTGAAATTTGTGATTAATGTCAGTGCCCAATGTGTGAAAGGAAACATACTACAAAAATAGATGAAAAGTATGGACTCTAAAATCCCTTTAAGGTATAGAAGAATCCCCTTGCTTGGGCTGTCAATCTTGAGGCTGGGCAATTCTAGGAGAGGTGATATCTGGATAAGCCTGACTCTCCAATAGAATGACACTGAGTGACCTGAGGACAATACTGGATTCACTCCAAAGTGAGTGAAACTTACAATCCAACTAGGCAGCTACCCACCTGTGCCAGCAACTAAGTGACAGAAACAAAAGGCTGCCATTCCTCCCACTCCACCAGAAAGAATCTCAGAGTTAGAACCTCTTGGAAGTCATTCAGACAGGTGGTCAGGTGGTCTTTTTGAGGTCATTAATCTGTGTACTTATCTGTGCACAGAGAAACTGTTGGGCAGTTTCTACTTGAGTTAAATATATCTATGACTCAGCAGTTCAGATCCTAGACATATACCCAAGAAAAATGAGGCACATACATTTGTGTGTAAACACACACACATAATCGTACAAAAATCTCATAAAAGTTTTATTCATAATCACCAAAAACTTAAATCAACCCATATGTCTATCAAATGAAGAGTAGATAAACAAAGAGTAGTATAATACAGTACACAGCAATAGAAATAAATGAATTGCTGGGGGACCTATCCGGCTCAGTTGGTAGAGTGTGCAACTCTTGTCCTTGGGGTTGTGACTTTGAACCCTTCATTGAGTGGAAAGATTACTTAAAAGTAAAAAGTCTTGACTCCACACTAGGCATGGAAACTACTTTAAAAAATTATATTAAGTCAAATTAAATAAATAAAATAATTAAAAAATTAAAAGTCTTTTTAAAAATAAAAGAAATGAACTACACTGACACTTAGAATCATATCACTGAATTTCAGAAACACTGTTGAAAGAATAATGCCAGACAGGAAAGAGTACACAATGTACGATATCAGTACCAGAAGGCTAAAGCAATACCTCACTTGTCCTGATGAGTGTGTTGTATTGCATAGCATTGTTGAACCACTATATTGCACAACTCAAACTAATAGAACACTATATGTTAATTAGCTGGAATTAAAGTAAAAACTTCTTTAAAAAGCAAAAGCAATAAGCAATACCTGTCAAATCACTGTACTACACATTTGAAACTAATATATTACTGTATGTCAACCATACTTCAATTTTTTAAATAAATTATTGACCATTAAAAATAACATTTTACAATAACCAAGATATGGAGGCAACCCAAGTATCCATGTGTCCATTGAAGATCAGTGGATAAAGAACATGTGGTGTGTGTCTATATATATAGACACACACATATATACATATGTACATGTGTGTGTATATATACATACATATGTATATATATACATAAATATTATTCAACCATAAAAAAGAACAAAATCTTGCCATTTGTAATAACATGGTTGGAGCTAGAGTACATTATGCTAAGTGAAATAAGTCAGTCAGAGAAAGACAAATACTATAAGATTTCACTTATTGTCAAATTCAAGAAACAAAACAAATGGAAAAAATAAACAAAAAATAAAGACACAAACCAAAAAACAGACTTTTAAGTCTTATATTTAAGTATAAAGAATAGACTGGTGGTTGGGGGGGAGGGTGAAATGGGTGAAGGGTTTTAAGAGTGCACTTATCCTGATGAACACTAAGAAATATATAGAATTGTTCAATCATATTGTACATCTAAAATTAATATGACTCTGTATGTTAATTATATTTGAATTTTAAAAATAAACAATATTTATGTGTGGTGATCAAAGTCAAAGTAGTGCTCTCCTTGGCCATGGGTTGCTGGTAAGGCACTGACTGGAAAGAAGCAGGAGGGAACTCTCTGAGGTGATGGGTTACATGGGTGTATGTAAAAATAAAAATTCATCAAGATGTAACTTAACTTT